GAACAGCACACGGCACGCGCACCAGGTACCAGCCGTCCAGCAGCGCAAAGAAGGCGAGCGCCAGGGCTAAGGACGCTACCAGTAGCCCCAGCATCTTGGCAGCGGGCGCCGGGTGCCCAGGAACCCGGTGCTCAGGTGCCTGCCGCCGGCCTGCCCGGGAGCCTGGGAACTCCGGGAACCGCTCGGAGCGCACCACCTCTTCCAGCAGTCCAAGGGGGAGGCGCGCCGGAGGCAGCAGCGCCGCCGATTGGAGTCGCGCGCACGGCTCCCGGTCATACCCCCCCCGCGCGCGCCCTTGGTGGTGTGTCCCACGTCCTCCGCCAGGGCCGCTTTCGCTTTTCCCGGGGCGGGGCGCGGCGGGACGCGCGGAGCAGTACAGCGCCACCTGGCCGCTGCGCTCGGCGCTGCAGGTGCAGGAGCGACAGCGAAGCCTGCTCCCTTCCGCGATCCAGTCACTCAGATGAGCATAGCCCAAGATTTCCAGAACTTCCCCGGAGCAGCTGAGGAACTTTGCAAGGAAAACGGACAATGCATCGCTAAAGGTGCTGCTTCTGCGAGGCTGCCCGTGACCTACAATCCTGTCCAGGCATCTTGCTTTCGCAAGGCCCCTGGGGCGTTCGCTGTGGGTTAGAGAGAATTAGATCCCGTCTTCCGGGTGCATTTCAGTCCCAGTCTGCAGACACTTGTCCCCCAGTACTCACCCCCTGTCCGCCAAAAATCTTGATCACCCGCCTTGCACAGCCTTGGTGCAGTGGGAAGGGGCTTGGACCTGCCTAGGCTCAGTGTGCTGGGCTCGGCTGGCTCCCCGTGGGAGACCTTGATTTTGGGGATGCGGGGTGACTTGGGAGAGAGGGCTGGGGGTGGGAGGAGGGCGGAATCTGTGAGTGGTATGTGAAGTGAGTAGAAAAGTTCTTTGTTTTGTTTTGTTTTGTTTTGTTTTGTTTTTCAAGACAGGGTTTCTCTGTGTAGCTTTGCGCCTTTCCTGGAGCTCACTCACTTGGTAGCCCAGGCTGGCCTCGAACTCACAGAGATCCGCCTGGCTCTGCCTCCCGAGTGCTGGGATTAAAGGCGTGCGCCACCAACGCCCGGCTAGAAAAGTTCTTAATAAAGAAAAATGAAAAAAAAATCCTGATCACCCTAAATGCGCCCCAATAACCCCCACCCTTTACCAATTTTAAGGCAAACAACTTCCGAGGTGGAGGAGAAAAAGTGGGGCGTGGAGAGGAGTGCGATGAACGTAAATAATTTATCAACTAGGCTAAAGGTGCTGGCCATGGTTTGTGGAATGTCAGTCCCTTTCCTTCACAGTAGAGGAAGGTTTTGCGGTCAGGTTGGCTCTCCTGGATAGCCTCCAGGACTTTGATAATCCTGTGTGCAAATGACTACAGGGAGCCCATGGTTGGGTGGACTGATGGCGCTCCAGATCCCCTGGGCACCATTACTCCAACCGTCCCATCCTGGGCTGGGTGGGTCTGCTGTGGTCTGTCCAGAGCAGAGTTCTTTTCTTTTTCGGTTTTGCTTCCGAGGCCAGGAGCTATGGCACAGTGGGTGCCTGAGGTCTTCTTGGCTACTCCAAGAGGCAAGGAACTCACTGCCAATCAGGGTGGCTCCAAACTACCGGAAGAAGAACCTTTCCCACACATTGCTTCCACCTGAAACGCCTACCGTGTGCTCTGGCTGGGGGAGGGGCAGCCTCTGAGGAGGAAGAGGCTAAGGAGTGCTCCCTGAGTCCATTGCTCAGAGAATGGGCCCTCGGCTAATTGCTCTGTCCACCCCGTCTCGTGCCTCCAGGAAAGAGACCCGCCACAGGTAGCCAGGCCTTTGAGACAGGGAAAGACGTGGATGAGCACCCATCTCCCGGGCCTCCTCTGCTCCTGTCACCTTGCTTCGTTTTGAGCCTCTCTGCTGGCTGTTCGCCACACGCTGTTCACTCTGCTTCCATTTTCCTCTCTCCTCCCCTAGCCTAGACCACATTGCCAGGGTCCTCTCAAAGGGATCTGAGCACACCTCGCTGTAGTTTCACGTCTAAGTCATGCATGTCTGTCTCACAGAACTCTGACTGGAGGATGGCCTGGTCGCCCTAACAGACCTTGGTGTCTACAGGGTTGCTCAATACACCTCTCTCTGCCAGCACTAGCGAATAAGAGTCCTGGGTACAGAAGCTTCGCTCAGGGACTTTGGGCTCTTCCAGGGCTCCTGTGTCTGCCCTAGAGCCCGGCGTCACCTCCAGAGGCAGGTTGGCAATCCCTTTTGGCCACCAGGGGGCAACACAAGGCTTGGGGCGGCAGGGCAGGCCCCAGCAGGATGACTTGCCCAGACCTTGCCCCGCCCAACTCTGGTCCCTCCCCTTCCTCCCCTGGCTCCGCCCTGCTAGGTGAGCGAGGCCACGCTGGTGGCAGCTATGAGGGGGTTAGAGGCCCATGCCAAGTCATAGGTTTGGTCTTGGCACCCAGGGGCCCTCCTCGGGGCACCTTCTGCCTTCTTCCCTCACCCTAGCTCTAATAATTCTTTGCAAAGAAGTCTCCAGGGTAGGGTGCGAAGGCCCTATTGTCCCTCTGCCCCTGGGCACCTTTGACCTGCAGGCAACAACCACAGGGAGAGAGAGAGACTCAGCTAAGGGGCAGCTGAAGTGTGGTCCCTGGTGGGCTATTCTGCACAAGCCAGCTCTGACATCCTCTTCCCTGTGTTCTCCCAGCTCTGTGTTAAGAGCACAAATACTTTCCCATTTCTCTTATTTATCTGAGTCTTCGGGACCTGCAGGCTCCATGCTGTGGGGTGGTTTTGGGGTGTCCAGGAGTGCCAAGGAGAACCCAGCCAAGCCTAGGTAACTGCTGGATGTGGTGTGCCATGAACAGCCCTCAGGACCAAGCAGATGCCCCGTAACTGCTGAGCAGATGAAGCCGGGCAGGGTCCTGCAAACTGTGCCTTGTCTTCTGCTATCTCCAGGGAAGACAGCAAGCCTCAACCAGAAGGTTCCCGAGACAGTGCTGCCAGTAGTACCACCCTGAGCACCACCCCCACCCCCCACCCCTGTGGCTGCTGTTACCACCACCACCACCACCACCACCTCCACCCGTGACTGCTGTTGGCCCCAGGTCCTGCACCATGTCCGTAGTAGATGTGAGGTCCTTCTAGATCTTCAGTGTCCTCCTGAACACGCAGGGCCTCCTAGAGCCTGGACTCAACCTTGGGTGCTCATCTCCTAGGCTTGAGAGGGATGCCTCCTACTTGAGGTCATACACAAAGGCTGCGGGCATCAGCTTTGAAGAGAGCCCTGCAGCCTCTGGCCAGGCTCACCCTCAGCACGACCCCAGTTCCACTGGCCCCTGAGCTCCCGCTACCACCACTGAACTCTGGGGCTCAGGTTCTGACGCCCGGCTCAGTACACAACTGGGCGCTTCGCCGATCCTCTGTGTCCCCTGTGTGGGCACCCAGAGCCCACAGCCTGTGCTGTTACTCACTATTCAGGAATTTACGATCCTCTGTGTCCCCTGGATGGGCACCCAAAGCCCACAGCCTGTACTGTTACTCACTATTCAGGAATTTAAAGCTTTAGTAAATGCCTGTGATCCCTGAGAGAGGGGTAAGAGGCCCCATGGACAGGTCACACCTGGAAAAAGCCCTGCAGGGCATAGGCTCGAGGGAGGTGCAGAGAGACACTTCTTTAACTTCCTCATGCTACTGTAGTGAGTATCTGTCACTCTCTCTCACTCTTGGATGGTAAGATAGGGCCAGGCGGCATGCTCCTCAGGGTCTTAAGCTAGTCAAAAGGCCACGCCCTAGGAGCTGGTACCCCAAAGTCATAGGTGGAACGAATACCCACGACATGCTATCTCGATATCGACATGGGGGGGGACATCAGCTGTAGAAATGGGGTCCCCATGCAGATCCCCACCCCCCAGGATCCAGGTTATTCCCAGGTGTAAGAAGGGCTTCCTTCAAAAGCTTTCCCCCGGGAATGGGAAGGGTGGGCATGTCCTCCTGTAGACGGCCTCTCCCAAAAACTTCTAATGGCGTGGATGCAGACTCAGCAGAAGGAACTCGGGAGTGTGGGCTGGACACACTCCTGCGTGGGGTGGGGTGGGGGCAGCTGGCTGCCTTCTCTGAGACGTTTGTGTTTGTATTTCCTGTGTGCCTGCAGTATGCAACAAAGTTGGTTGTTTGTTTGTTTTGAGACAGGGTCTTGCTATGTAGCTCTGGCTGGCCCGGAACTGCTATATAGACCAAGCTGGCCTCAGAGGCGGCAGAGAGTTGCCTCCCTCTGAGCCTCAAGCTCTGGGATTAAAGGTGAGTGCCACCACGCCCAGCTAGCATAAAGTTTTGTGTAGTCGATTCCCTGGGGGTAGAGGAAGCTGCAGAATGCTCTCCTTCCCAGGGGCTCCTCTTATCCATGGAAACTCAGGGCTTCCTGCACTGGGAAGGTCGTAGAGGAGCACACAGTAGCACACAGGGCTCTGAGAAGCTTGGCAGTGTGCCCGAGTCTGTACAGCAAGGGCTGGGTGTCCTGAGATACGCAGTCCTACCTCCTGCCAGGTGCCACATAGGCGTCCTACCAAGACCAGGCCTCTAACCCCTAAAGTCAATGGCATGTCCACGACCCTTGATAGGCATTGCCCAGGTGGAGGCCGGGCTCATGACGGGCTGCTTAAGGACAGACGCTCTCTCCAACTTACCCAACAGGTATTTATTACAGGCCTACTGTGTTCCGGGGCTCTACAAACATGAGGCAGGTCCACCACCACCACCCCCACAGCGACATCGGGTCTCATCTCCTAGGACTCCCAGTACCTCACACCCACCTCCCAGCTTCATTTCTGCCCAGTCCATCTCATCTCAGCCTTCACCAGACCCTTCCCAACTGCGGCTGTGCAGACGAGCTCAGCTCCTGGAGGGCAGGGTGGGGAGGGAGTCCTGCAGCAGAAGCGCCAGAGCAGAACTGGGG